GTGTGTTCTAAGGAGTTCTAAGTTGTCCGAGCCCAAGCTACTCAAAAATGTTGTTGAGCTGACTACAATAACAACAAGTCTAAATTCAATAAACATTTAGTACCATTTTGATCTGGTGCACGTTGGTGCGTTGGCAACAAAGCCGGCGGCTCACGTGGCGGCTTCGTATTCATCACATCGATAATAAGTATGAATAGTTGCACAGCTGCCAACGGTGAGATCTCGGCAGACGGGAGACAGGCATTATTACAAATTACGTAAATTGGGATATTGACCGATCTTAAAAACACGTCGAGTACAGTGTAGTGTAGTTTATTGCACATTGAACTATTGCAACAGAGGCGCCCCGTGCTTTCACTCCTTTTAAATTTGTAATTTTGAAAGAATGAAACACCTTCCATTTTCGAGGAATAGTAATTTGCTTGCGTCAGTTTCTTATCCTAAAAATACCAGTTTATTTGTAGAAATTTTGGTAAGTTAAACCACGAAACAGTGTGTCAGTTACTTTAGCAATCATTATAATTATCAATCTGGCATTTTCTATGTCACGTCTTGTCCCTTCATAAATATATTCTTATGTATTAATCCAGGTTATAATCTGTCTTAGTACGAAAATTCATCCAAATCTGTTTTGCTATCTTCGAGTGATTGTGGAACAAATGGCCAAAACACACAAGCCGTCCCGTGGCGTGTGCTTCTTTAACGAGTGCCAACTCAAGAACGATATCTAATATAATTTTTTGCGAAAAACGAAAATAAACGTTTTGATGTATAATTTACAGAAAGCTTCTAGTGCTCCCACGACGACACAAAGCTCATATCAATTCAGCATAAATACGACCATCCAGTCCACTGAGTCCTCGTCGGATCTTCTCAGTGGGTCGCGTTTCCGATCCGGTGGTAGGTTCTGCGAAGCACTGCTCATGTTAGGATCAGTGTTAGCAACATCACCAGGTTTGAGCCCTGTGAGCTCACCTACTCGTTCGGTAACGCTGATATAGTCTCAGGGAAAAAGACGACCATCTACCTATATAATACGCCAAATCGATGTGTCGGTAATATTCGTTCTGGCAGACCACTTGCAACCTCTGAGACTGATTGATCCGTCAATTTCGGTTCTCTCTGCATTTTATAGTGCACGTTCAATGGAGAGCCCTCTGAGGGTTTGTTACGAACCCATTACCTCCATTTTACCATCACGCCACTCATCATCACAACATATCTATTGTTGCTACGTACTAGCAGGCTTTGGTCGGTGTTTCCTGAGCGCTAAGACTCGTGTTTTTGCTAACAAAATGTTGCATATGCCATTTCTTTGTTGAATAAGACCACGGACACTAAGCGCAGCTTTAGAAGTCGTCGTGGCCTAAAGGATAAGACGTCCGGTGTATTCGTATCTAGCGATGCAACGGTGTTCGAATCCCGCAGGCGGTTACCAATTTTTCTAATGAAATACGTACTTAACAATTGTTCACGATTGACTTCCACGGTGAAGGAATAACATCGTGTAATAAAAACCAAACCCGCAAAATTATAATTTGCGTAATTACTTGTGGTAGGACCTCTTGTGAGTCCGCACGGGTAGGTACCACCGCCCCGCCTATTTCTGCAGTGAAGCAGTAATGCGTTTCGATTTGAAGGGTGCGGCAGCCGTTGTAACTATACTGAGACCTTAGAACTAGGAGTGGGTAATATCGGTTTTGCCGCGTATCGAATCGTATCTATATATCGAGGATCAATATCGGATATTGAATCTATATATTTTCTGAATCTATATATTGATGGATGCTAGTAGATTTTCTCGATTCATGATATTTGAGATTTGAAACGATACGCTGATATAATATTGTAGTAGATATAGATTTAAGTCAACGTTACACGGTTGGTTTTCTGATATCAATTTATAATATGATCTTAAAGTAATAAAAAGAACATGAAAATAAAAATATCAAGAAAACTTTCCTTCATGCTTTTACCAGGCTTAGGACTGGCTACATTATTTTCAGTTTTTAGTATTTTGTGTCTTAATTTAAAATTACAAAATATACCAAAAGAGTGTAGATTCAAAAGTTTAATACAAACACAAGAAATAAACTCAATTATTTGGATTCAACTAAAAATAGAAAAACGTGTACTTTAAAAATCAAACACAAAAAACTTTTAAGTATTTATAAACACTTGTCCAAAAATTCTAGTTCAAGGTCAAAGCGCGTGAAATTAAATTCAACGATGCAAATAGGCTATACTGCATTCAAGTTAGGGTCGAAAGTTGAAACTTCTTTCCTTAATTGTATCCTGCTGATACGCTAAGAATAATCTACAGACATATGGACTTAAATATAAGGTTTACAATTGTATGGATAATGCCTGTTTCTGTTTCATTCATCACATGATATCCCTATCGTGCGCTCACTCACTCTGGCCGATTCGATACGAACCAAACGAATATTGCTGATATTAACGAATCGGTACGATATGCCGATGCGCATCACATCGAGCAATATCGTGTATCGGCTGATATCGAAATATAGATTTCGATTCACGAATCGGTACGATATGGCGATGCGCATCACATCGAGCAATATCGTGTATCGGCTGATATCGAAATATAGATTTCGATTCACGAATCGGTACGATATGGCGATGCGCATCACATCGAGCAATATCGTGTATCGGCTGATATCGAAATATAGATTTCGATTCACGAATCGGTACGATATGGCGATGCGCATCACATCGAGCAATATCGTGTATCGGCTGATATCGATATATAGATTTCGTGCGGGGCGATATCGGATTCAACAATATTGCTGCGATATATAGATATTGAATCTATATACGATTTATATCACCCACTCCTACTTAGAACTTATATCTCAAGGTGGGTGGCGCATTTACGTTATAGATGTCTATGGGCTCCAGTAACCACTTAATATCAGGTGGGCTGTGAGCTTGTTCACCCATCTAAGCAATAAATAAATAAAAAAGCGCAGGATATTGCATTGAGGGCAGACCAGTAAGCGACCGGCTAGGGACTAGAATCGCGAGTCCAGAACGCACTTTGTTGGTAACTCATGGCTACCGGCTACATGTGGTGTCTACGTATCTTCTACCAATGCTCGAGACCAGCTTGTAGAGAGGGGAAAGCATATAGGAGCTCGCTCTAAAGTACGACTAGTTTGGACGACCGACGGGGACGTAGGGATACGATTCGTGCAACTGACACACATACTTTACCTTACTTACTACAATATGTTTAGTAATATCATTATATATTCAGAAATTGCATGTTCTCGAAGCTTAGAGCCTCCAAGAGCATTGAAAATTAAAATCTCATCGAAAGATTGGAGATAATATAACTATTTGTTTGTATTGGGTATAATTCGGTGTTGGGCGTTGGGTATAATAAATAAATAATATATTGGAATTGCTGGTTCGAAAATTCCTGCCAAAGAGTACCTATGCCACAATATTTTACAATATGATTCTTAGTACGAGATTCTCTAATCATCACGCACGCAAGCGCAGCGTTGGGCGTCCCCCTGCCCGTTGGAACGATGACTTGCGGCGATATGCTGGGAGAGATTGGATGCGAAAGGCGGAGGATCGTTCATTGTGGCGGACTATGGGAGAGGCCTACATCCAGCAGTGGAGAGATACAGGCTGATGATGATAAATCATCATGCACTGCTCATCGATTAGGATCAGTTCCCATTTTCCCAACAGTTTGTCTTGCGATAGACATAATCATGATTAGTAAACTTTTGATTGCTGCAAATACGTAGGAATGTTCACGGCCCATCTAGCATTAAACGATTAGAATAAATGCACAGCAAAGTGTAAGCCGACGGCCCCATGAGACATTCTCTGGAATGATGGTCATCCGCTTTCCAAACGAGCACGCATATTGAGAGCGGCAGAAGTAGGACGGGTCACGAGAGCAATCTGTCAGAGCTCACAGCACGTCCTCGAACTTTACACGGAAGTGTAACAGTTGAGCAATATGTCCCGCCGGTTGAGTGGAGATGAATAACATCCTGTTCACATTCCAGTCGGACACGTCGCCCACCACACACCCACACCGGTTTCAATTCACTAGACTATTTTAGAATAAATTCACAACTTTATGAACAATTTTACTGTCTAGTATTCTTAATATCTAACCTAGATAACATTTTATAAACAAAGTACACATAAATATTGAAATTTCTCTAATAGAGTTCCCAACTACCCAGAAAGGAACTTGTCAAGGTCACACAGTTTAAGCCGCTTTGAGACGTTTGGCGATCGATTTTGTGATTAACAAAAATATGTTAGCTTATATTATTTTATCAACAGTAACTTCTCGCAATTAATTTAAGATGATTAAGGATTATGAAAACGAAATTTAAAAGTAAAAAGTCCACCACCGTCATTGCTCCTGCACTTGATTCACTCTTCGCGCGAGTAAATGCCAGCAGCTCCAACTCTAGCGGCTACTAAACCAAAGCATAGTCACCGTGCCCATCGAACAGACATGACACCCGGCCCACAGCATCAGCCCGCTGAGTTTTTCGCCGATCCTCCCCAGGGAGTTGCGATTAATTCGCGAATCAGCTTTGTTTTGCCGGGCTCCCTCCAGCCAAGCCGGCTCGCACGACCAAGTCTGAAGCAAATTATTAATAATCATTAATGACACAAGAAACATAAAAAATATGTAAATTACCAAATCAAGAAACTTAAATAGTTTACCATACACAGAGCATTGAATTTCCGCGCCAAACAAAGTGGTGAGCGAGACTCCCCTCTCGAGTGCAACGGGTTAACACCCCGGACTGATTGAGCTACCCCTCAAACGGAGACGGCCCGGCGTCGGGACGCTTCGCTTGTTTGCGAACGTCGTCGTCGACCTTTGATACTGATATTTCGATTTCGTATTTTTGAATTTCTTTGAAGTTGTTTTTTCGGGCTGGTTAATTTTCTGGATAGGGTAATTCTTGACGACGATATTAAAATTACAGATAGCCGATCAGAATGGACGAGAACAAAGCGGAGACGATGTACCTTCGTGCTGTCCCTGACGACGTCAACGGTGAAGCAAAGTTAGTAAGATGTCTCAGTTCTTGTAGTTTAGCTCGGCATCTAGTTGGTTGTGGCATGCATGTGTAGGTTATAATGTACATTGGAAATATTTACTCCTATAAGTTTATATAATCAGTGCATGATATTTGAATTATTTTGGTATTTCATTTTACACAGGGACTCTGCAGCCGAAGAGAACTACGACCCTCACGAACATAGGCAACTGCCGAAGCCGACCAAGTAAGTTCTAATTTACTTTTACAAATATTAATTAACCTGATTGCATAAGTTGGCCGACTTTTAAGTTTAGTTATTTAGTCTAATTAATAGGCTATGTTGTGTTTTAGTAACATTGAGACCCTGATCCACCTGCTGAAATGTAGCCTGGGCACCGGCATCCTGGCCATGCCCCAGGCGTTCGCTCGCGCTGGCCTCGTCACCGGCATAGTGTTCACGGTGCTCATCGGAGTCCTGGTCACGCACTGCCTCCACGTGCTCGTGAGTGCGCGCTCTAAGTTCTCTCTGTTTATAATTTGAGAGAAGGCACTAATTGAATGAGCGGGTTGTTTGTCAGGTGCGGTCGCAGTACGCGGCTTGCAAGCACCTCCGCGTGCCCCTGCTGTCGTACCCGGCCTCCATGGCGGCCGCGCTGGAGGTCGGCCCGGCTCCCTTCAGGAGGCTAGCCCGTCCCGCCTCTATCACCGTAGATATCTTCCTCGTTGTCTACCAGCTCGGCATCTGTTGTGTATACATCGTATTCATCGCGGACAACATCAAGAAGGTACAACAATATAATTCTTAACTGAAATGACTATACAATTATAATGATTGTTTTCTATATTTGTGCAATCCCAAGGAATGCCCCGTCCAAAGCTTACATACATAGTATACCTATATGGGCCTGCATGACGGGTCACTACGAGCCACATCCCGGCTCATAGGTTGCCGGTGACAGTGAGCGTGTAATATGACAAGTATTATTGCAATGTGATGTCACACCGCACGCACTTATCGACCCAAGGTCTCTGTATCTTTTTCATTGTTCAACAGATCGTGGATCCGTTCTACGCGATGGCGGTGGAACTGCACATGCTGATCATCCTCTGCCCGTTAATCGTATTTAACCTGATCCCTAGTCTAAAACTGCTGGCGCCATTCTCAGCCGTGGCGAACGTACTCACATTCATAGGGCTCGGCATCGTGGTCTACTACCTGGCGACCGGCAAGAAGTCCCACCAGCCGCTCGACTTGTGGGGCTCGCTAGAAACCTTCCCGCTGTTCTTCGGCACCGTCTTGTTCGCGCTGACGGCGGTCGGTGTGGTCAGTAGCGGTCATCTCTTTCTTATATCTTGCTGTGCGCGTTGACTTAACAGATGCGAAATTTGATACAAGCGCGAATACCTTGAAGCTGTAACGAATACTTGAAAATACCTATTATTATTTGAATACAATAATTGAATGTCGTTTATACGCTATCCAGGTTATAGCTCTGGAGAACAATATGAAGACTCCGAAGGCGTTCGGCAGCCCGTGCGGCGTGCTCAACTCGGGCATGGCGCTGATCGTGCTCTTGTACGTGACGGTGGGCGCCATGGGCTACATCTACTGCGTCTCCAAGTGCTCCGACTCCATCACTCTCGATCTTCCTTCCGGGCCGTTAGTATCTACTTATATTAATAACCTTGTTCGAAACCAATCCGTTAGTTTTTGAATTCTTACCACGGCAACACGGGTCGCGATTTGACGGTGCCGTCGCGATTTGACATCTGTCACTTTGTCTTGCTTCTCGAACGGGACGGTACCTGTGTATTGACGGTCTACGCTAAATTATTGTATCATCGCTAATCCTTATCCATTCCTGCCCTATACCCTTCTCCCTAAGTGATACGGCGTGAGAAGACGAAGGCATCGGTTCCGGTGAGTGATTGCATGATATTTTGTTAAAATAGTACATACGGCGCCGCGAATCGCGGCACATGTTCGACGCGCACCTCGTGCTGGTTTCCGTAGCCCTAGGCTGCCACGAGGTCGCTGGGTTCGAATCGAACAATTTCTGGTAGCAGAGCGTGGTTAGATTTCTGAAATCTATAGTAATTACCACGAATGTAAAATTTTTTACGTCTAACCTCACTTAATTTTGTTACTAGTCAGCAGAAGTAGTGTAGGCATAGGGTTCGGTTCTGTTTAAACTATCATTCTGCTGACCTAGGTCAGGTCGTTTAGTGTGTTTCTATCCACCTGGTTAAGAAAATTAGTGAGTAGTAATAGTTAGTAATAGTAAGACTGATTTATTAGCTTCCACTGCGCATAGCTGACTAATTGTACGTGAGTTGGACAGCTGTGCTGGCTGAGTTTATGACCTAGCACACAGCTGCTACAGTGGTCAGCTATTTTCATACTATTACTACAGATTTATGTTAATTCTGCTCATCATAGCAGTAGATTACCACATCTATTTAAGCATAGTTGTGTGTAACAATCTGAATGTTATTACAGTTTGGGTTTATAATTTATTATTAATTTGTGTATGATTGTAGCTCACTTCCTACTTATATTTTAGTATAATTGAGCTGCAACACATTTGTAATTGAATATAACTGGAGTACTTGTTGAACTTGTAGTAGTAGATTGCTGGTTGGGCCCTGTTTGGAGACTAGCTTAGTTATAGTCCAGAGGCCAACGGTGTATGAGTGTCATTTCAAAACTTATACCAGCAATTTGCTATTATATATATTTTTTGTTATTTGTTTTAATTTGTTCTAAATTTAAATTACTTGTTTGAATTTGTGGTAGTGGATTGCTGACTGTGGGCCCTGCTTGGTGACTGGCTTTGGTATAGTCCTGAGGCCATCAGTGTTTGAAAATTAATTCACAAATTTTTATCAGCAATTTGCTATCATATAATTAATTTTTAATTTTAATTTTGTTATTTGACTTACCCGTTGAACGGTGTGAATACTTTGTGATAGTAAATTGTTGATTGGGTCCTGCTTGGTGACTAGCTTCTAGTTATAGTCTAGAGGCCAGGTGCGCTTGAGTTTAGTTGCAACTCAAAACCTGGTATCAGCAATTTTCTATCTTATAACTTTTAATTTTAAGTTTGTTCTTATTTGTTGGGGTGTCCTTGGTACAGTGGTGAGGTCTAGGTTACCTAAATACTTAGGAGTAGGAATATTTTGGTGGGCTCACTCGTACACTCCTTTAAATAATTCCTTTGATTTTTTTTTTTTTGAATTTTTTTTTTTGAATTTTTTTTGAATTTTTTTTTGAATTTTTTTTTGAATTTTTTTTTGTTCTGGTTGTAAACTGCAAGTAACATGTCGGTGTCCTACATTCGCGGGAAGGTGACTAGTGAGCTCCGATGGTTCGCATCAGCTCATGCTTTGGTTGACAGAACAGATAGGGATGCGGCATTGCTCGATAGGGCGTCTCAGGTGCACGAACGGTTGGAGGTAGTGTACGATCGGTTGTCTGACCTCGTTGCTTTGGGGTCCGAAGTGGAGAAGGAGGTGATCCATGCCATCGGTCTTGACGTGGACCAGTGTCAGGAGTACGCTGATGCCATTCTGCAACGGGTGGCCGATATTAAGAAGCAGTCGTCATCCGGTGGTAATGGAGGTTCGGGAACTTCGTCAGGCGTCATATCACGCCTCCCCTCCATCGACCTGCCGATCTTCCACGGTGATCTGAACGAGTGGGTCGGCTTTATAAATTTGTTTGACAGCCTGGTCCATGGTCGGTCGGACTTGACTGCCTCTTATAAGATGGCTCAGCTTCGGGGTGCTCTGCGAGGTGAACCTGGTGAATTGGTGGCACACTTGCCTATCACCAACGACAATTATGCGGTCGCACGCCAGATCCTGTTCGACCGATATCAAAATCAACGACGGTTGGTAGACGCTCAGCTGGCCAGGCTGTTTGCGATACCCAAACTTTCTCGGGCTTCCGATATCAGAGCCGAGGTACTGAATCCAGTTACGGTGGCCACTAAGGCCTTGGGCAATTTGGGTCTACCAGTAGACCAATGGTCATATCTGCTCTTTTATATTGTTGCAGGTAGGCTGCCGGTTGAGGTGCTCACTCGCTTCGAGCAGCAGGACAACGCAGGTAGGGACGAACTGCCTACCCTGGCCAATCTGCTGGCATTTTTAGAAGCCGAAAGTCGCAGACACGAGATTATGCCACCGCCCTCCTCCTCTGGGTCGCGTGTGCCGGCTTCCGGCCACGCCGTTTCGGTTGCTCAGAGGGGAGGGGGAGGGGATAAGAGGGGGCCGTCTCAACGACTGACTGCGCTCATGGCAGCGGTGGGAGGCCCACGGTGTGCCTTCTGTCATGAGAGCGGGCACGACGTAGCCGCCTGTCCGAGGTTCCGGTCGACGCGCATCAGGGGTAGACGCAACATCGTTGCCCAGCGGCGATGGTGCTTTTTTTGTTTTGGGCCGCACACGGCGAGCGTCTGTCCACAGCCACAATTGTGCCCTAATTGCGACGGTCGGCACCATGCCCTCCTGTGTCTGGAGTCTGCCGCCACTCCGAGGTCATCCGGACGCAGTCATCCAGCCTCGCCGACCGGTGAGCGCACCGGTCGTAGCCCTCGCCAATTCGGCGGCGTGGACCCTCGGAAAGAGGCTTCGCAGGGAGGCGCCGGGTTAGGTACTGCGGGCGGGTGCCAGCGGATGCCCACTAGCTACGCCGGGGTGGCCACGTTGTCCCCCCGTGCGGGGCCGTGTTCGCCTGCTGGATCGAGTAGCCCTGCTCACTCGTCTCCCCTTCCCTCAGAAGTACGGTTTTCCCCTCCGCTGAGGGAGCGGCCGACGCTGGAGCGACTCCCTCCAGTGTTTGGCCCGTTTGGCCATCGTACACGGAGGTATATGAGGCGGGACGGGAAACGAGGGCCTTATGTGGGAGCGTGGGATCCGCTGGCACGCTACGACCTTCCGTCGCGCGCCGACCGGGATAGCGGGGACCCGGGCCCCCGCTAGGAAATTGCCGCTCACTGCAGTGTTGCCCCAGCCCCAGAAGCTGTTTTACTTCCTACCGCTTCTGTTCGGGTGTTGGATTCGGATGGCAACACTGTGTTTGCTCGAGCTCTGTTGGATTCCGGCGCACAGGGCAGTATTATGTCGAGCAACCTTGCAGTACGGTTGGGCAATCCTATTTACAAGTCTTCTTATTCTATTCGTGGAGTGGGCAATGTTAGAATTTCGGACGTGATCGGTCACACTTCATTTATTTTCTCATCGAATCCCAACCCTCGCTTACAGTTTAGAGTCTCAGCTTTGGTGATGCCTGAGGTGATAGGTCGTCACCCTCCGGTGAAGGTAAACAGTTACATACGGTCATTGACTTCAGACTTACGGCTAGCGGACCCCAAGTTTGACACCCCGGGGCCAGTAGACGTACTACTTGGGGCGGATGTACTAGGGAAGCTGCTCCTGACTGGGAAGCGCGTTCTTCATGCGGAGGGTTTGGTTGCAATGGACACAAAATTAGGGCATGTATTGTTGGGTCCTGCGTTCCGGCCGGTCGCTGCGAGGAAATCGGACAATTTTCTGGTCGGGTCTACGCTTTCGGAAGTAGTCCAACGGTTTTGGGAACTAGAAGAACCTCCTACAGCTTATCGAGTTAACCCGGATGAGGAGGAATGTGAGCTGTTTTACCAGAATAATACGGGTCGTCTCTATTCGGGCCGGTTCTTGTTAAGACTTCCTTTTCGGGCGAATCGCCCACTGCTAGGCAGTTCGAGGAAGGCAGCAGAGACTAGACTTTTGTCAATGGAGAGACGCATGAGGCGCGACGCGGTGTTCCGGCAGAAATATGTAGAGTTTATGCGGGAGTATGAATCCTTAGGTCACATGTCGGTTTCCAAGGTAGATTGGAGTGCTACGGAGCACTGTTTCCTGCCTCATCATGCGGTTTTGAAAACTCCTAACGGTAAAATTAGGGTCGTGTTTGACGGTTCGGTCACGACCTCCTCCGGCGTCTCGTTAAATCAGTGTCTCCATTCGGGTCCAAAGCTGAACCGGGACATTTCAGACATACTGACGAGCTTCCGCAGGCACCAGATCGTTTTCGTGGCAGACATCCGTATGATGTTCAGGCAAACGGTGATTCATCCGGAGGATAGGCGGTATCAACTCATTCTCTGGCGTGAAAGCTCAGATGAGCCCATAAAAATTTATGAACTGAACACGAACACTTACGGGTTGCGGTCGAGTCCATATTTGGCGGTTCGTTCTTTGCGGGAGCTGGCAGTGAGGGAACGGTTGCACTACCCTCGTGCTGCGGACATTTTGGAACGGGACCTATATGTCGATGACGTATGTACGGGCGCCGACAGTGTCGAAGAGGCCTTATCACGCAAGGATGAACTGATCCGCCTTTTGAGCAGGGGCGGGTACGAGTTGAGAAAATGGCTGTCTAACTGTCCTGAGTTGTTGACTGGTTTGCCAACGGAGTATCAACAGGATCCCCATCTTTTCGAGAATGTCGATAACCCTAACATGCTGTCGGTCCTAGGGATTCAATATCGTCCGATTCAAGACGAATTTACCTATCGGGTGGAGTTGGAAAATCCAAAGGTATGGTCTAAGCGAACGGTGCTTTCCACAATTGCTCGAACCTTCGATCCAAACGGTTGGATCGCTCCTGTCACTTTTCTCTTAAAGTGCTTCATGCAGCGACTGTGGTCTGCTAACCTGTCATGGGACGAGGGGATTGCTGGTGACCTATTGAAGGATTGGTTGAACTTTTTCTCGTCTCTTCCTGATATTAACCACGTGTCAATACCTCGGAAGCTGGTTCCTGCGGGCAAATACAAGGCGTCTCTCCACGGGTTTTCGGATGCCTCGGAACGCGGATTCGCAGCTGCGGTATACTTGCGAACGGTTTCTTCAACTGGAAGGGTTGATATACGGTTGGTGTTAGCTAAGAGTAAGGTCGCTCCGCTTCGGACACGCATGACGATTCCGAAGCTCGAGTTGTCTGGTGCCGCTCTGTTGACTAGGTTGTTAAACCATACAGCTACTAGTTTACGGTCGGTTATTGATTTAGAAAACACTGTCTATGCTTGGACAGACAGCCAGATAGTGTTGTGCTGGTTGAAGGCTTCGGTTCATACACTTGAAGTTTTCGTGGCCAACCGTGTCTCCCAGATTCAAGGTTCTGAGGTCCCTCTAACATGGAGACACGTGCCTGGTGAGCTCAATCCGGCGGACTGCGCTTCTCGGGGATGCTTAGCATCGGAAATAGTTGATCATCAGTTATGGTGGGGTCCCCAGTGGCTCACCATGAAGGCTTCTCAGTGGCCTCCCTCTCGCATAGAAGTTCCTCCAGGTCTCGTGGCTGCACCGGCGCAGTTCGAGGATCGAGGAGTGATTCAGGGGTTGGATTTGGATCTGCTCATCAACCGTTATAGCTCCTTGGACAAGCTGGTTAAGGTTACCGCCTGGATTTTGAGGTTTATTCGGAATTGTCGTTTGTCGGTGTCTCAACGCAATATGACACCTGTTGTGTGTCCCATCGAGCGGAAGAAGGCGCTGCTGAAATTAATTGAAGTTGTGCAAGCCACCAGCTTTCATTCAGAATTGAAGGCGCTAAGGACTGAGCGCCCTAAGCTTCGTGGAGCTATCGCTCGTCTTAGCCCCTTTGTAGACGGCCAGGGGTTGATTCGAGTGGGAGGTAGATTAAGTAACTCAAATTTACCTTATTCGGCGCGCCATCCTCTTTTACTTCCCAAGAAGAGCCAGTTAGTTGACCTGTTGGTGATGGATCGCCACATCGCAAATTCGCATTCCGGTTGCAATGCGCTGTTGGCATCCCTCCAGAGGGAATTTTGGATTCTGTCAGGGCGTCGTACGGTTCGGAGCGTCCTTTTCCGGTGTTTACCCTGTTATCGGCTTAAGGCGTCTACGATGCAGCCTCAGATGGGAGATCTGCCTCCAGACAGAGTGAAGAAGATGAGGCCGTTTTCTGGAGTTGGTACGGACTTCGCTGGGCCCTTCATGATCAAGGCTTCACGTTTGCGGAATGTTAGGTTAATTAAGGCTTATCTGTGCGTCTTTGTCTGTCTTTCAACCAAAGCTGTACATCTTGAAGTTGTTGCCGACCTTACAACTGAAGCCTTTATTGCGAGCTTGGATAGATTTGTGTCCCGTCGAGGTTTACCCGAATTGATACGCTCCGATAACGGAACGAATTTTGTAGGTGCGGACCGTTACTTGCGGGATGTAGTAAATTTCTTGAACAATAACCAGGTGGATATTGAAACGGCCCTCTCTCGTCGCGGTATTCGGTGGACCTTCAGTCCTCCAGGATGCCCCCACTGGGGTGGAATTTTCGAGGCAGTAGTAAAATCGGCTAAGACTCACTTGATGCGCGTGATAGGGCAAACCTCGCTCACCTTTGAGGAGTTAACTACGGTATTTTGTAAAATTGAAGCGGTACTTAATTCACGGCCGTTGTGCCCGCTCAGTTCAGACCCGAATGACTTGGAGTCGTTAACTCCAGGCCATTTCTTGATAGGACAGCCACTCAATGCGTTGCCGGAGTATCCCCTCTCGGATATCAAGCCTGGACGGTTGAGGCGATACCAGATGTTGCAGCAGATGTCCCAAGATTTTTGGAAACGTTGGTCCCTTGAGTATTTACATCTGCTCCAGCAGCGCTTTAAGTGGACGGATAGAACCAGTCCCCCTCACGTCGGTGACCTTGTGTTGGTTAAGGATGCTAACCTGCCGCCACTGCGTTGGCGTAGGGGGCGCATTGTTAATCTGTTTCCCGGTAAGGATGGGACCCCTCGGTCTGCAGAGGTTCTGGTCGGGGACTCGGTTCTCAAACGAGCGGTCACAACGTTGTCCCGGCTGCCAGTTGATTAGGGACAGGTAGGGGACCTGTCCGGGCGGGTGACTGTTCGAAACCAATCCGTTAGTTTTTGAATTCTTACCACGGCAACACGGGTCGCGATTTGACGGTGCCGTCGCGATTTGACATCTGTCACTTTGTCTTGCTTCTCGAACGGGACGGTACCTGTGTATTGACGGTCTACGCTAAATTATTGTATCATCGCTAATCCTTATCCATTCCTGCCCTATACCCTTCTCCCTAAGTGATACGGCGTGAGAAGACGAAGGCATCGGTTCCGGTGAGTGATTGCATGATATTTTGTTAAAATAGTACATACGGCGCCGCGAATCGCGGCACATGTTCGACGCGCACCTCGTGCTGGTTTCCGTAGCCCTAGGCTGCCACGAGGTCGCTGGGTTCGAATCGAACAAACCTTATCAGTTTTTCTATTCAGTTATATCAGATTGATTGATTATTATTGTTAATTTCAAAACTAATACTCGATTTAAATAAGAGTGGAAATGTAAGTATCGAATTATAAATTATTTGAAAAATTATAAATAGCTGCCAACTCGCGGAAATATGTAGAGCGGTCCCTCATAGAACTGAGAAAAAATAGACATTCCACGTGCTCGTTGAATACACCCATTAATAGATCGGCTAGGGAAGGACCCCGAGCTGACCGCAATGCGTCACGTGTTCGATACAGCACACCACATGTGATATTTTATTTTTATGTACGAAATAGAACTAATAATATTCGGCTCAATAGTAATATCGGCCTATTCTTTTTCTTAAACTGTTGGTTTTACACAAAAATCCATAACTCGTAATAGTTATTAAAAAAATTGAAAAACTTCTCGTGTGATTTTAATCTCGCAATAGAATAATAATCAGCACAGACGAAGGCCAGCGCTAGTGCGGCTTCACGACGGAAGCTATATTTATTACCTTTGAGACATAAATAGATAGTAAACAAACAAAGAGGATTCTATTAACTTGTACTTTTTTAATTTTGCATCAAAGTATTTATTGCAGTCAACAGTACAAAGAGATGAAATGCGATTAATTACAACCCCGTTGAGCTGCATGTTGGTATATGTATTTGTTATCGTGTTACGTTGAATGTCTACGCTGCTACCCAGGTACCGAACTAAGCATCAACCGTCAGGGAAGATCAGGCGAAAAACTACTTTCTTGTATTGATTTGCTTTTGCTCTTGTAATATTCCAAATAACACGTCCTTAGTATAAAAATGTACGGATATTAACAGAATACGTAACAGTATAATAAAATGAATTCGTGTGAAAACTTATTTCCAGCTCGTAATATCTGTTCATTTTTATTTTCTATTTATTGTGTAGACGGGTGACCGAGCTTACGGCGGATTTCCTGGGTCCCTGGACATCATCACGCGTATAATATCCATCCCGAGACATAACGTTGTACGGTATCACGAATTATTGGTTCACGGAGGAACTAGGCAGGAACGGGTCAACCCTCACAATACACCTTACTATCAGTAATTACGAAAACATGTGTTAATTACGGATTACATTAGAAAACATTTTAGCTGCCTGCGGAATTTGAAAACTTACACATTACTCAATAACACCTAAACGGGGCCCTATCCTTTAGGCCAAGACGACTTCAGTAATCACACATATTAATTAGATATTAATAATATCTACTTGTCATCATAGCATGTATAGTATTCTGCACAAGAGTTCCTTGGCAGTTATCTTCAATACGGCTAAAATAACTGTTCTGTTTATTCGGAAGTGGCATGTTTTGTTGTAACGCTTGCATCAGAATGTGGGATCCGTGTATGTACTGGTATTGCAGGTTGGCGACTAGCGTCATCGTGATGTTCGCGGTGGCCATCTTCATTAGCTACGGACTGCACTGCTTCGTGCCGGTGGACGTGGTGTGGCGCGGGTACGTGGAGCCCCGCCTCCGAGCCGCGGCCACTCCGCCCGCGCGCCTCGTGCTCGCTGAATACGTGCTGCGCGTCCTGCTCTGTCTCCTCACATGTCAGTACCTTCAACGCCGTCATTATCTTGCCCTTATTTATATGTGTTAAATTATAAAAATGTATTCACTCAAACCACAATCTATAAATTCAGATAGAATAATGTGTATCTCTCGGAGTCCATAGAATAGGATACATGATGCAGTTCGTGTTATTGAGCTGATCCTTTGTTTGTCAGTCGTGCTGGCCGTGAGCGTGCCCCGCCTGGGACTGTTCATCTCTCTGTTCGGCGCGCTGTGCCTGTCGGCGCTGGGCATCTGTTTCCCGGCTATAATGGAAGCATGCGTGAAGTTCCCGCACGATCTGAAACCGATCTGGCTGTTGAAGGACGTACTGCTGTTTCTGGTGGGCATTGTGGGTCTGGTGGCCGGCACGTACACGGCTCTGCAGGCCATCTTCCGCTCGTTCCAGTCGACGAGCCCGCTCCACGCCTAACAACGTGCGGCCCGCAACTGCGCCTTGTCTCAGTTCGCACGCGCTATCACCGACTTTATTGATACCCCTTAAAGTACTTGAAGGGTTCAAAATAAAACTGTAGACATTTAATTAATCTTTTTATTATATTGGATTGGTTGGAGAAGGTCTCCCTCGCAACGGGCCGAAAGGTACTTGGCATACATCTCATAGTTTACTAACGGATCGGAATGTCGCAGACCACAGACGGCAACGGTGTGATGCGTTGAATAATGAATTTAGTTTAGCTGTAAGTTTTAGAATTTAATGTTGTTTATTGCATTTTTGTGCCATCGAGCAGCGAAGGCTTCAGATGCCGGGGCACGTGCCAAATACCTTCCTAATTACCTACATGCGTGCTCAGCCACTATTAGCTACGACGCTTTCATAGAACTGGCGCATCTGTAGTAAATAAATAGATTAGTTAATGCAGACCTCAAATAGACAAAGACAAATGAGATCAGACTTTTTACATTAAACTATTGCAGCATACATAGGATCTTGCTGAAATGCCTTAGATCTATTCGAGATCTTAGCTTTAAAGTGTTCTGAAGCAGAAACGTCGGTTCCAGGAAGCGCCACACGACATTACAGTATTAAGCAGCATTTTATATTTAAACATATATATTTTCAGTAAACTTATTACATTAGATGGAAAATTATAGATATCAATGAGAACAAAAAAATTATGAATGTCTTTGTAGAAAGCACACCCGTGTGACGGGCGTCTACCGTATATTGTATGTACATCTACAGCACTGTGTGTGCCGCATTATTCAACATTAGCTTTTCATGTTTAATGTAGTCCTATGTTTATGTTAAGTTACGTAATCAACTGTTGTATTAGTTGTTATGTATTTCAATGTTATAAATTAAGATAAACAAAATTTATTGGCCAATTATAACAATGATTCTCCGTGATCTTCACTCGTGTTTAATTATGCGCTTATCATAATTGTAAGAGACAGTGATAAATTATACAAGTTTTTAAGCTACGAAAGAAGAGTTCAATGATTAGTGTCAAGAGCGCTTTAGCAGTTCTCTGTATGCGGCACTCCGCTGGCAGGGTCGGTCGGTGCACTGGGTTGTTGGCGACAGCCGTGTTGCTGACAGTTGAATCCACGGAGTATGTGATGCCCTAATTTTATTTTTGTGTTAAGTCAAAAATATATGAACTTTGTACACAAGTATGTATACAACCGCGAGTTTTATTTACTACCAATTTTAGTAAAAATTGTGTAATAATAGTGTAAAGTGACATTCAGGTGGTGCGTATATGGGCTCTGGTAATCACTTTACATCAAGTGGGCTGTTAACTTGTTCTACCATATAGTGCTCTTTTATGCCTAATAATTAGATCTCTGTACACTTAATCACAAATACTGAGTGAGGTGCCTTAAAGGTCAAAAGTCGCATATTAGGGAAGAAGATAAGACTTTCTGACCTTAGTAGCTGTAATTTGTAGCAATATTTAAGAAAATATAATTTCTTTAAACAGGTAAATATAAAGAGCTACCTACAGTAGAAATAGACAGGACGTTGGTGAGAAACAACGACATCGCCACCCACGACAGGAATTCAGGGAGACTTACATCGGGAAATACGACGACATGCTGTTGATGGTCGACATAGTCTCAAATAGTGATCCGATAGGAATCCATCCATCGTTTCTCTAATCACATTAGAGAACAAGTTATTTGCACATAACAAGTTGTTTCAAACGTGGTCGCGGTCCGGTCGGCGCGGCGGCGTAGTTTAATTACTTTCAATATTACACAGTATTAGCTCTTATCAGCTGACGTCACTTATCTTCATCCGTGTTAAATGGGGCAATTTAAAGTTTACATTACATAAACTAACAAGATTTACATTCAGATAGTTATCAATAAAACCTGAGTAGTTCCAGCTTGTACTTGCAGACACTTTCTGAATAAAAGTGCCATTATGGTAGAATCGTCAACGTTTTTGCTTTCCCTACCTATTCGCTGGTAGCCTAACAGACTATTCCAGCTATGCGCGCACGGATAGGTGGACTCACGGGTACAACCCGAGAGAATTTGATAGCATTAAGCCTAGCACGAACAAGGCTGCGCAGAATCTATCTCCGTCGAGAATCACGACCCACTAGGAACATAAAAGAAATATGTAATTAGCGGCGGCCACGATGAGAGGGTTACCGTGTCGCGCCGCTTTGTCGAAGTAGTCGTGAACGTCTAACTGGATGAATGTAAACATAGCGGGGACGGGTAAAATTAAATGTTTAAGATTCTCAAATGAAATAAATTAGACCAAAAGATGGTGTAGTCATGACCGCGCTCGATGTACTTGGGTCGAGGCGTCAGAGAGGAATAATAAGCTGCGTGCTTAACTATAGTCCGGATATTCTAGAGTTCCATCATCTGTCCGTAGTTTTGAAACATCACTCTGTGTAATATTACGACAGCGCGGCGGGCAGTTCAGCTTACCCAGGCTCACTACGTAGTTACGTCACTCTTAGATGTCAGCGACGCCTATGGACAGAGCCAAACTTTTCAGGAAGTCTATAGAGCTCTTGGAAAACCTTTGAGGACAGTTTTTATTGGAGTCATCATCGTGGTATGGTCTCGTCTGTCTCGATTGTGGCAAAGGTGAGCCTACGACCTCTGTTCGAAGTACGACGTCTTCCAGACATGATTGAAATACTCTTACTATTGCTTTCTGTATAGCATTGGCTCAGCCAGGAGGTGTGGGATTCGCATGGTCGTAAAGAAACAATCGACTCGTGCCTCGGCGAACATTCCCGACGCGCTACAGAACCGAGGCAGCCCCAACAACACCCTGAATGCAATAGTTGTTGGACCTGATGGACCCGTAAGGAGGTGTCTAAGACGTCGACGGTGACTGGCTTCTGCTTGATCATGAATCGATGAGTAGTCATCCGCTACAACGAAAAGGCGATTATTATGACGCATAGCCTTATCGAAATAGCATCGGAACGCTATAAGTCACTTCATCCGAAAGGATAGATGCGAGGCCCAGGTCATCGTGTAGGTCGACGTTTCTCACAAACCACGTAGCTCCAACGGCTAACCTACAAAAGCGGGATTGTAGGTATTGAAGGGTGTCTATGCGCGTGCGGGCCACCTCAGCGAACACCACACTCGCGTAATAGTAGGGGAGCCCAAGCGGGGATTGCAAGGAAGCGGGGATTTCGGTATTTACTAAAGCGCGGCAGATTAATATACAGGGGGATACCTTGTACCCGGTTAAGTACCTCCACCAAATATGAACCTCATAAATAAGGCCCCACGTCCAGCGTAAAAGATCAGATTCGTAAAAAAAAATTGCACATTAGAAATTCTCGAGCGCGTCAAATTAAGGTAGGGTGAGTTAATTACATGCTAAAAAGAGTATATTTCAAGTTAGGCGAATCCCTCTAGATAATCGTCAGATTATGAGACAGCACGTCTAGGACATAAAGATGAACCACAGATATCTTAATCTGACACGCTTGAGTATTTCAAAATTGCGATATTTTTTTTCATAATATGATAATGGCCGCGAGTTTGTGTCACATCGAAATCGTCAGATTATTGCATGAAAGCTTTATTTAAGACCTCTTAAGAAAATATGACGCGCTCTTTTTTTTTGTTTTTGTTCATTTTCAACCCTTACCCTCGACCACCCCCATAGTGCAAACGATCAGATTAACATACATTCATACATTATTAAAAATACGTAGGACATTATGTTATCAATATCTGACGCGTATGTCCATGCAACAGTTTTTTTTTACAAATATGAAAATGTATAGCCGTTTCCCCCACCGATGAAAAGGTATACATTATAAGACATTTTTTTTTCATTTTCATCTAAGTTTTGCAACCCAATAGGTCTCTATGACGCTCGAATAAATCCCCATTTAGCATCGTGGGCTCCCCTACTATAAGTTATGACGGGCCTTATGCAAGTTTTGTAAAATGTCACCTTTTTCAGAAAAGACATTTTACTCCGCTTACAGATCATGGGGTAGAGTCTGCCGAGAATAAGCGCGGCATGGTCGCGGGCTAATTTGATATGTGTGTGGAATGTCATGGATGCATGGAGGTTGACACCCAGGTACTTGACCTCTTTGGCTCAGGATATTGGTTGGTCAAAGACGGTGATAGGCGGTGTGAGATTCTTCCTCCTATTCTGGAAGGAAATTCGTGTGGAGTTTCCCCTTTGAAATAGCGCCGCTATTCGTTTCGTGTGTACATAGAGTAACAGACATACTGCCAAGTGTTCTTCGTTCAGTTACGTTACACGGCCTGGCGACCTCTTCAACTCCGCAGAACTCGACGCAGCTAAGCCTCACACCTTTAGTAATGCCATGTAGTAGTTGTCTCTACGGCGTTCTACCAGAAGTAGTGTAGAGTAAGGTACACCTGCTTCTTAGGTCTAATATTACCAGTACTCCTAATTCGTATGTCCGTACTACTTCTCCAGATTCCTGTCTCGACGCATCTGGTACTTTTAAAGAACAGCAAATAAATAATGCAATACAATTGAGACTTCCTCATTAGGCATTCAAGTGTTCGCAGGCGTACACTCTACTTATACGTTCTGGTAACTATTAACATAATATAGCATCTGGTAACATCACCAGAAAGAAATAGAAACAGCATGGCTTATGATTGAATAGGTTTTTTTGCAAAGAAATATCAATACTAATCATACCGCTGGAAAGTGTAAAATGAAATACCTACATTCCTATATGAGCAGGAGCACTTATTTCTTTACGTAAGACTCCCACGACAAAGTAATAGCGTCGTGTAAAATTGAATACCTGCAAACTTTATAATTTGCGTAACTACCAGGCGAGTTCACGGTCCGTTTGTTTTTCAGTAGCTACCGGAGTATATGGTTATTAAAACACATGATCGCCACCATTGAGAGACGAAGTCAAAGTCCCAAGAGAACCTATTGTAGGACGGGGCTGATCCACCTATCAACCAGGACACCTTATGTTGACTAGAGTTGTGTCGACGACCTACTACGACATTTATGACGACATTAGGAGGCTCCCGACGCGGGCCAACTGCCTTTATTTAGGTTAAGGGTCAACGACATGTCTGAAAGTGCTAATTTTTTTTTTCCTACCCTACATATCTGCTAATAACCTCAAAGAGCTCATTCTGGCTTCGCATTGCCGGGTCGGCGGGCCCGCGGGGGGCTCAGTTTGAAAGAACGTTCTAACAACTGCCCTAGCGAGAGTAGTGCTTCTCTGAATCGCGACCCCCTTAAGAGATCTGGCGAGAAACTCAGTGGCTTGTGTGTTAAGTTGCACGTGGCACGTCCCCTAATTTTTCTAATATCACAAGCTTTCTTTAATGAAATTATATGATAAAACCGAAGATAATGGTTTCTTTGTGTAGTTTTTCTACTTCAGCACTCCAGATTTTTGCACCAAATTTACAGGCACATTTATTGATTACTTGATAAAAATGATAGGCAATTATCACATGAAACGTGTACAGGATTAGTGCGGGCCCAGCGCCCCGGGGTCGTCACGCATCAGTCTGCAGTCGAGGACAAGGTCGGGTGAATGAAAAGGCGACTCGAGTGCTGGGTAATTTACGACGATTTATTAAATAAAACACCGATCCAGGACGAGTTGGTCGTTAGCGAGCAGAGGGCGCGGGCCGGGCCTCGCGTGCCTCGTGCGCTTCAACAAAACTACGCGTCCATACAACAATTAACGTTTATTTTCAATCCATAGAACCATATAAATTAAGTGAAACAAAAATTCTAGAGATAGTATGTAAACCGAAGATGGCTTAATGTTGCTGCGTGTCACGGAGCGCCGCAGTGGGAGGGGCGCCCCCGCCGCCGCGCACCCGCCCTCACCCCCCGGCAGACGTACTGCGCACTGCGCACTGCGCCCAGTGCTCTCACTACTCGTACATATTATACGTTTAGAACATACATATATTTAGCAAACATATTTATATGATTATAACATCTTGCAGGCGTTATGCATTCCTTGTATATTTTTAACAAACAAAATGGAATATAAAAGAGTGTGCGAGGTGAAGCGGCGGAGTTCCGGGCGGACCCCACACCTCGATACATTCATAGAAAAACATTTTATTGTTCTCGTTTTGTATTCATAAAATACTTTCAAATGCAACAACTTCTTATTCTTACTTATAAACATTTATAATTTTTATTCATCAATTCAATAAACATTCAATTGACTCATTTATCAACGACAAAAACCTACAAAAATATATTATAAGATTAGCACGAGTCGAAACAGAGTGCGGGAGTCGCGTCGGGCGACGCCTGTCGCGAGTCACATTACAACTAAACCAAATTATATATAAACTTTCAAAACGTTAACAACTACAGCCATAACAAAAGTATTCTAATAACGACTACCCTACGGAATCTACGCACTACTTAAACTAAGCACTATGTTTGAAACAACGAGAGAAGGCGCGCGGCCGGGGCGCGGGCGGGGCGCGGCTGGAGCGCGGGGGGGCGCGGGCGGCTTGACCCCGCCCCCCGGCCCCCGCGCCCCGGCCGCGGCGCCCGCACGGAGAGGCGCGCGCGGTAATCTCATGCACGGAGCGGGAGGAAGCGATCCCTTTACAACTATTACTACTCGTATATACAGGCGGCGCGGTACGACTTGAGCAACGTCCGCTCTACTACCTAGTACTTCTCTCCTCTTACACCCTACTCTAAATATTGTAACTCGCAATTTCGTTTAACATCTTCAATATTTAATTTTGAAATACTTAATAAAACGTTACAACATGAATTACAAAGTACAGCGAACGAGCGTGTCGGGTGAGCCGTCAGAGTTCAACGGAACTTTGGTTAACCTTTACCTACTCTACTAAACTTAACGGTAACTGTTTTATATGCATTAATCCTATTTAAAGAACGACGGACGATTTGCAGAGGCAGCTCGGGGTGACGGGTCGCTTCGGTGCAGGGCCGCAGGGGGCTGTCTCGGCAAGTCGTGTGGTGAGCGGGGGCGGGGTGGGGTGTCGCCGCTGCACTCGCGCTCGCCGACCGGACGCGCGCCCAACACCTGCTCGCACACCGCCCGCCTTCGTTACTCATTACATATACTCGTACGTACACACACAAGCGGGAGGAATCAGTAGGACTGCGCCGTGAGGATCTTGTATTCAACATCAATACTGCGTAATTACAAATGACATCTCATCTTCTGTGCCGCAGTGTTATTATGTATTCCAGTTCAGTTACGGTAGCCGTAGTTCATGATGTCCATAAGCTTCCATAACCATTTAACAACCTAAGTATAGGAAACCTATTCACGGCAATAAAAAGTCAAAACTACAATCACGACTCTGAAGTCATTTGTCGATGTAAGCGGGTTTCTGAGCGATTTGAACCTACCCACAATGATTGGTGCCTAGAAGTCGACATGACAATATGTAGAGGAACGCAAAAAGAACTTTAATTTCTCCTATTGCAATCAATCGTGTATATATTGACCCAAACATTAGTAAATTCACTGGTTCTGGTATGAGCGCACGTACGGAACTACACATTACAAGCAACACATTACAGCAAGAACGAAACGAAATTTCTCAAGATAATATTGATAGCCTGAATAGGTGTATGTCAAGGATACTGGAAGCAGCTCGAAGAGCTAGAGCGGGCAACTCTAATTATTAATTACAGGCCACTTTATACTCTTTCGTTATATATTCTAAAACGTTATATAGAAAAATACACTCGAGAGCAATAAGGGTCACTTAAAAAACTTGTAAATCTCGGAACTCTGAAGAATGCTAGTTTAATGAATTAAATTGTCTTTAGTAGACAATTAAATACTTCTTAGTTATTGCAAGGTCATGTTATAAAAAAAATAAATTTGAAAAAGAGAGACTTTCGAAGATGGAACTACGAAATTACTGCATTTGATTTTGCTTTCGCTTCTAATCTGTTACTTAAGTGGGTATATAAACCATATTGATAGTGTTCAATATTTATTATTCAACCTGTATCATGTCGCTTACAACTGAAGAATGCATCAAAATCCTCACAATGCTAGAAACCGGCCGGAGTCAGCGCGATACAGCCAAGACTGTCAGTGCGTCGCTATCAACAGTAAAAAGAGTTTTCCGACGCTACGAGGAAACTGGCTCTAACCTACGTAGACCAGGTACAGGCAGAACTAGGTGTACCACAGCATGAGAAGAGCGATACTTGGTAAAAACCATGCTTCGTAATCGCTTTCTTACAAGAAATGAACTTACAAATCAGTTTCGACGCCTCCGAAGAAATAACCCAAGCGCATGGACAGACGACGACTTGCTGAAGCTAACTTGAAATCACCTTGACCTGCAAATGGCCCTAAGCTGAAGCGTGGTGATCGTATTTCAAGATTAAGATATGCCCAGAACCACTTAAATTGGACTATTGAAGATTGGTCGAAAGTTATTTATGTTCTCCGACGAATCAAAATTTATGCTCTACATGGATGGAAGACCCTGAGTGTATAGAAGACCAGGGAAAATATTCAAGCAAGCATGCATAGAAGAAAAAGTAGCCTACGGTGCCTCGGTGGTGGGTCTGTACTTGTGTTGGCCGAAATTTCATCTGACAGTCGCACGGAACTAGTGTTCATAGAAAACGGCTCTTTAACTAGCATAAGAAATCCTTAATGAACACGTTCGGCCATTTATGGTCAATTTGGGTGAGGATGCTATTTTAATGCATGATAATGCCCGACCTCATACAGGTATCACTGTGAATGACTACTTACAAGAGACGAACACTACTTGTATGCAGTAGCCATCATACAGCCCGGATATCAATTCGATCGAGTATGCATGGGACAAGCCAGGGCGATGCGTAAAACAGCGAAACCCTCCCCCAATGACGCTTCGTGAACTCAAAATTGCTCTCACAGAGGAATGGGAGAATATTTACCAAAATCGTACAAGAAACTTGGTGTATGCCAAACCGCGTAAAGGCACTAATGGAAGCACGAGGAGGCAACAAAGTATTAAAATTCAAGAAAATCATATTGTTGTACAAACATTTCATGTTTCCTATTTTGGTTTTAAGGCGAGATCAGCTGTTTTTTTTTCTTTATGCAATTTTTAATAAATAAAATGTAGTGACTTATAATTTTCTATTAAACAACGATTCTTTTTTTAAGCTAGCATTCTTAGTTTCCAAGATTTATAGGTTTCTTTAAGTGACCCGCATTCATTGCTCGCGAGTATATTATCATTCCTGTGTTTTTTTTTGATTTGGAGTAAAATCTTTAAGAACCAGTTTCAATTATCTCCTTGAGTATATAAATCCGTTTGGTTGTGAAATCAAGCATTAACATAATTAACTTTTTCATTCAATTAGGATACTGGATTTTATTTCATCACACTTAAACATCAGTGTAATGCGTTCAATTGTCTAGCCCAACTAGTATCACTTTAAAAATAGCTGAAACTGATTTTATTTTATAAATACTTTTTTTGCGTTCCTCTAAATTTGTCCAGGAATATGGTTTAACAACGGATCTGATCGAACGTGGTAATGTGCAGTGTATACCTGTACCTAGTTGTAATTAATCTTAATTCCGTGAATGGTGTTGAGTCTTGCCAGAGTTTTTGATTTAGGTATGTTGTGTACGACTTGTGGTCACAATTATGATACATACATGTCGCGTGGCGTGTTTGTGCTATGCGGGTGGGGCGGGCGGCCTATACGTCCGCGTACTTGGACAGCTTCTCACGCAGGATGTGGTTTTCCTTCTTTAGCAGCTCCACTTCTTGCCGTAAGCCCATATTCTGGAAACGTCGAAACGTCACGGTACGGATTATTAGTTGTCATTCCATACATACTATTGAATAATGCATTGTATACACAGCACAGGGTGAGGACACGCGAATCAGGAGTCCAAGTTAAGGGTTATTTTTTTTTAGGTATTGAGAGGGATATCGTGAGCAGAAAGCGTTACCTCCTTCTCGAGGTATCCAGCCCGCAGTGCGATCTGGTTTTCCTTCATGCGGCGTGCGTCGCGGGACCTCTTGGCCGCCATGTTGTTCTTCCGTCGGCGCGCCCAGTACTTGTCGTCTTTCAGGTCGTCGGGCACGAACTGGCGACGACGTCGATATGGGGTTAGCACGCCGCGCCACACACTCAAACCACCCTTCACCCACCAGTAGAACACAACGTCATACACCTGCGAGCCCCGGCGGCCGCGGCCCCCACCGGCGATCATCCCACTTTGCGCAACTACCCTCTCCCCTGCAGACACATTCTGTGTGGTCTGTGGACTCTCGCACGATGTGGACCCGCAACCCGCCCGAGCTCGAGCTCGACTCTTTATTATTTAAACTGGCGATGCACTCGCACTATTGAAATAATAAAGTGCAGTCCCTTGGCAACTGATCACGAAGTTTCAGTATGTACATGTTATGGTCTATTAACTCTCTGAAGTTAGAGGAGCTCGAACCGTCCCGCCGTCATGTCATGTTCAGTTTGTACGGGTACTGTGCGGCACCGCGCAACCGGACTTGACCGCATGTATGAGCTTAAAATAATGCTAATGTTTAAAATTATAATTATGCTATAATGAAAACGAAGATGCAAAAGTTTTAAATAGAAAATAAATATTTTATTTCATTCATCAAGGTTTTTTTTAATGTATTTTTTTATTGTTTATGTAGGTTCAAAGAGTTAACAGATTTTTAAGTTGAAATCTTCGGATTGTTTGTTTACATTAGAAAACCAAATCAAAATTATATAAACAAAATATTTACAAGTATGTAATTACAAGTAAAATATTGAATCCAAAAACACCAACAGAAATATGCATCAGGTTGACACTAATAATTACAGTAATTTGACAATAACTAACATTAAATAAATAAATCGAAGCAATTTTTTTTTTTAATTTTTTAAATTATTTGCTTTTTAAAAAACAAACTTATTCCTACGACAGTTTCAAATGACATGACATGACATGAAAGGAGATAAGCGCGTATTCATGATCACACGTACCCATACTACATGTGCACAAGCTGTAGCGGGCTCTTGGGCGACACCGCGGTGGCGTGGCGGTGGGTGATATAAATCACAATATACAATAATAACTCTGTTCTTACTAAGTGATATAAAAGATAATTGAGTCACCTATTAATATGTTCCACAACTTAAATTCTAGCCCGATTGTTTGTAAAAATATTCCATTTATATCAAAATTTTCTCGGAAAATATTAGGAATTAATAGTCTTAAATATGTGTCCTATTTTTCAGACAATGCAAAGTGGCAGAAACACACTGCAATATATACATACATATACACCAGCCCACCGTAAGTCGGTACTCTTATCAGTGAAACTAAATTAATTATATTGTTAATTTGATGCTCAATGTACGGGAATAGAAAACCTTAGTAAGGAGACTGACTAGACATGCCGCAAGTCCGCGCGGCCGCACCGCCAGCCCGCCTACCTCAGCTCTGCCTCAGTGCAGTCGAGAGTCGATAGTTGGACCTCAAGTCTCAAGGTGGGCGGCGACATTCAGGGAATGATATCTATGGGCTTTAGTGATCGCTTCACGAGACGGGTCGGTACGGAGCTCATCTAACTATTTATGTCATTACGAAACTTATTGAGAAAGAATTTAAATTATAATTGCATTATTATTATTATGTCGTCCTCCTGGAAATAATAGGGGTTAAAGTATGAAATTGCCGTTTTATTGTAATAGGTACTTCGAATTGACATAGTAGAGCCTTCGTTTGACATTTTTGAGTGAAACTTTTTCAAGTAGTACCTATGAGGTCCTTTTTTATAATATGTGCAATATTCGGTTATCGACTTTCAGTTGTTTTTTTTATTCAGCCTAGACAAGAAAGATGGATACTTTGAAAATTCGAGTGATTTTTGAATGCTAGTTCCGACGCGGAACGAACGCTGCAGAAACAGCTCGCAATATCAATGCTGCGTTAGGAGAGGGGACTGCTAATAAGGGCACCGTGCGATTTTGTTTGAACGCTTTCGTGATGGAAATTTTAAGTTGAAGAACGAATCACGTGGAAGGCCCACAGATGTGAATTACAAGGAATTGAAAGAGATGGTGGAAGCGGATCCAGGCCAAAGACCCAGGAATTAGGGCAAGGTTTAACGTTACCTTATGACTCATTTGCGTCAAATCAATAAAATAAAATAAAATTAAAATGGGTGCCTCATGGTTTGACTGATCTGCAGAAAGAAACACGTGTTGAAACTTGTGTTGCCTTGTTGAATCGATACAGAAATGAAGAAATATTAGATCGAATTGTGACATGTGATGAAAAGTGGATTCTTTACGATAACCGTAAGCGAAAAATGCAATGGCTGACCCCAGGTCAAACGCCGCTTACCAATCCCTGTATAGTAATGGTAACTGTTTGGTGGCCTCAGCACGGTGTTATTCACTATAGCTTTCTCCGATCTGGTCAACCAATAACGGCAGATGTCTACTGTGCCGAATTCCGAACAATGATAGCGAAACTTGCAGTGAAGCAGCCCCGACTCATGAATCGATCTTCACCATTATTGCTGCATGATAACGCGAGACCTCATACAGCACGAGAAATTGTTTTAACTCTACAGGAACTGCAATTAAAAACCATTCGTCACCCTCCGTATTCGCCAGACCTTGCTGCAACGGACTACCATTTTTTTCATGATTTGGACAATTTTCCACATGATAAAAAGTTATCTTCCCAGAAGGCAGTACACAATGCTTTCACACAGTTTGTAGAATCTAGATCACCGGAGTTCTATCAACATATAATGAGAGAAAAAAAACGAATTTAAAATTTTCCGTAAAAATCGGCAATTTCATACTTTAACCCCTAATATGTAGTTAGGGTCACAGACAATGTTTGTTTGATATTTATCGAACTGTGCATTCTGTTAGAGCTTGTTAGGGTTTAGTTGAACGGGTGAAGCGTTAGTTAAGCTATGTAAGTGGATGTGTGTGTGTGGTGTGTGAGTGTGTGTATGTTTGTTTGTGTGTAGGTGGGTGTTGCTTACATGGGTACGTACCCTGCGTATTTCTGTCGCTATTATCGATTAACATAATTGAAATTTTGATCGCAACTCTTAAGGGTTTGGTCATTCGAATCGTGATATCCACAGGTTCCAGGAACCACACAGCATCAAGAATCTGAGGGCCTGTCTATCTATTTACTATCGTAAAGCGGTACTGCTCATGTGACTGTTCGACACAGAGGAACGCGCCACTCGGAGCCTTTAGGTCGAACGAAGCCTCGACTAGATTAGAAGACGAGTTGTTCGAAATCTCTATAGGTACACACTCTACATGTATCGCAACACTTTTTGAGATCGGCTCGCGTTTTTAGTTAACTGCTTTGAATTGATGATATTTTTTTTGAAAACGCCCCTTAATAAAAACTCGTACAACTGGCGATAGTCGCGTCAGAGTGTGGGCGGGCGTCATTAACTTGAAGCAATTAAAAACATTTATTTACTACAACAAGAATAAACAGAAGAGCGAGCGGTACCGCGGCTCCGGCTGCAGTACGATGTGTGTCGCATCTACTACTACTATCACAGTACAGAGTTGAGGAGTTGCCTGCTTTTACTCCTAATACGTTTGGACTAAGCCGTCTAGTAATTTCAAAGAGATACGATTATCACGAAAACTAAATCACGAAAATTATTCATCTTCATTTCAAGAATACTAAACACTGATAGATTTGAGCCCCAAGGACACGTGGCTCTCCCAATAAATTTAGAAGCGGAAGAGTAGCACAATTAAACTTATCAAGGAACACGTGTTGACCGCGACTCTGTCTCTATATTAGGGACGTAAGACCCTTTGCAATAGAATCCCCTCACCTATGTAATGTTACAGACCTCGGTTTCAACTATCTATATATATATATAAATGAATTGCTGTTCGTTAGTCTCGCTAAAACTCGAGAACGGCTGGACCGATTTGGCTAATTTTGGTCTTGAATTATTCGTGGAAGTCCCGAGAAGGTTTAAAAGGTGAGAAAATATAAAAAAGCTCGGAATTATATAAAAACAAACAATTTTGTTTTTCTTTTAATGTGTCCCCTTGATGTGTCTTTTACTTATCGATTGAGGCACTACGAAGTCTGCCGGGTCAGCTAGTCTTCAATCAAATTGTAATCGTGTACTAAAAATGTTTGCGTTTCAAAGCTCCCTTGGGGTGACCAAGAAGGTAGGAATACAATTAAATTAATATTGAACTGCCGACTACTCTCTGATTGGAGTTGGTAATGTTTTCAAAAGAACCCACGGTAGTTTATTCGTTAGGGGCGTGGATATTTATGATTGTCATTTTTCTGTACAAATTTGTGAGATTTAAATAATGTTAATGAAACTAATTCTATTAGAAATATCTAATGGCTTCCAAATCTCCAACCAATTTCTAATTTAAATTATAGGTAGGTATTGTATTTTTCCTTTATTATCCAAATTTGTAAAGCGTGCATGTACCTCATAATACATAATAAATATATGAATATACTCGTATTTTACATGCACAATATGAGTTCAGAACGACATCGATATAGTACGTACGTGCCCAGGTTTGCGCCTACGACATCTTGAACGGGAGACCCGCACTAAGCCTCACTCACTACACGAACAATGGCCCGAATTCGGATTCGAATCAAAATCAGAACTACGAAAACAGACGAAAGGAGCGAACACTGATTGCTCTGCAATTGAACTTTGTTACCGACACGCTTCTTCGCTCTTTATTCCGAAAATAATCAAATTTGATTTTTTGAACTAATTTCTGTTGCAAATGGAATCTATTATTCTGATCTGTTCATCGTCGGCATTTAGTGAAGTCCCACGGTGGCTCCATTACTTGCACCTAACTCAATTGAAATTTAATTAAGCGTTCAAGTTTTCTTTCATTATAAATATAAGGTTGTTCGACAGAGAAAATGACTAATTACTTTATTTGTATGTTTGTATTGTGTAACCAATAGCTATTTGTATTTGTTTTTGCAATGTGAACGGTGTCAGTGGTGGGAGTTCAAACCATCACTATTATTATTATTATTTATTATTGTTTCACGCTAAAATCAGAACGTCCGATTTTCATGGTAATTTTGGTATCTGAAAGAATGTTTATAAATATTTTGATTTTTCTGTCATTACCTATGTAAATATTATCATCCCAATTAGACTTATTTGGTAACAATATGAACATGCATCAGAAATAACCAAACTAATGAAATGTTGGATATGTGTAAAAGGCCCTAAGAGGAGTGATATGACGTATCATATTATGTCATGTTCGAATTTCATCAGTTCTAAGAACTTTTGATCTAACATGTACAGATGAGCTGGTGTTATTGTGATAGTTGTATTAGTAGTGCGTGTGTGTGTGTGTCGCCGCACCCGGCAGCCCGCAGCATGCCGCTAGGAACGATCAGCGCACTAACTTCATTTACCTGTTTCCGGGACTTCTTGATCATCGGCTGCGGCTTCAGCTCTTCGTCGGAGAAGGCGCGCGTCCGAGGATCGAAGTCACGGCCCGACGATGCCATCGAGAACGCTGGAATACATTACAATAGAAGGCTATTTTATTTTAGACTTTACTTTTTTCTTACAGTGATATTGATATCGAACGAACTAGTTTGAGTCTACAGGATGAAGACGGTCATGTGAGTTTCTTGTTCTATGGACCCAGTTACGATATGAGTGCTCACTGTGAATACAATACTAATATGCATCAGTATATACACATAGTCTTTTTGATTAAAGATAATGATAATAGATGTAGTATAAGTGAGATAGTGTACGTACTGGAATCGGCTGGTGAAAGCGGCGGGTTGATGGTGTCCGGGCTCATGCAGTCGGAGGGCGAGGGAGAGCGCTCCCGCTTGGTGATGGGAGTCTGCAGGCCCAGCGCCGGCCCGAACGCGGAGCCGCCCAGGTGCGTGCTGCCCAGGCCCTCGCCCGGCATGCCGTTCTCCGACAGGAACTCATCTAGGTCCACGTACTGCAACAGCACAGGGCTCCGGTCACAGACCGCCCCCCGCGCCCCGACACACCGCTCTGACCCTCGTCTCCCGCCTCTACTCTAGTATCGAGGGGTCGTGACGTGACACTCAAACCGATGTGTCGGGACTCGGTAGCCGCGGCGACGCATCACGCAGCTATGACGTCTCGCTTGCTCCACGTTTACGGGTTGCGCGCGGAAACGTCATAGCAATTATATAAACAATCGCTTAGCAGTTGGGCAGATGCAGACACGTTTCATTGACACATATTGTATGTTACAGATATAACAACAAATATATAAATAAGAATCATTGGTGATGTAGACCGTGCGGAGGAGGAAAGGAGCGAAGGTGCGCGGTGGTGAAGCGGGTCGGGGAGCACGGAAGCGACTGTATTACCTAGTGCGGGCCGCCGTTAGGAAGCAACAAACAGACGCACACGACACGCAACACGCAGCAGGTAATATAGTTACGAGTACTGACTTCGTGTACCTTGAGATCGGGGTCGTAGGGCAGGGTCTTGTCCCACAGGTTGGGACCCAAGAAGGCGGCCTGCGCCTCCCAGAGGTCGTTGTCATCCTTCTTGTCTTCGAGCGTCTCCTTAGTGTTGACGGACTTGCCTGTAACAAGCACGACAGGGGCGTCAGCCCGTCAGTCCTCACCGACGGCGACAGCAGCGCTCTCAGCGCGAGAGCACCGCTGTCAGCGGACACGACGCACCACGCGCCTCACTACATCGCTACATCGATCTATTTGAGTTACAGCGTACATCACTTGTTACAAATCATTACAGAAACGAGTTAAACAAAACACGCATTCGCTTTGCATTGAACAGTTCGCAACAGCAACATCTTCGTGACGAGTTCACAGAGGCTCAGATCTAGAGTTGCAAGGTACGAGACCGGGGCGAGGGTACTCTCGGTATCACAATGAAACATAAACGTATATGTAAGCTGACAGTACAGAAGAGTCTTCCTCCTCACTCCCTAAGTGAGACATGACGAACCGATCGAATAGCAATTGAATTCCGCGTGCATACGCAAGTGGTCGGCCAAACGGGTCCGTGTCGGAGCCTGCCGGTGGAGCAGACGGCGTCGTGTTACCGGGCCGGGCCCTAACGACGTGTCATCATTCTATTAGCGTTGTTATCCAATTTCACCAACCAGCTTTGCGATAACGTTCGCTGGAATCGTTCACAGGAATCGTGCTTTCGAGTGAAAATTGTCAAGAATGAAATCCGAGACGTCTGATGAGCAGCGGCGAGCGCGACGACTTCTTAGTACTCGCCAATTTAAATATTTAATTGATACTTCATAAGAAATATAACAACAAGAACAGACTAGCGGTTCGAAAAGTTTATAGAAATCATAACTGATTTGTAGTATTTTTGTCTTTCATCAGATCATCATCATCACCGCCATGTCGGTAGCCAGAACAATGTACAAAAAAAAATTTACAAATGATTGTATTTATTAACATAGCAATCTGTATTGTGTGCGCAAGTGTGTGCGCAGTTGTCTGCCGGTGAGCTCGGGGAGCACGCGGTGCCTACACTCTACACTCTAGATCTGCGGGTTATTGTGTTAGCGACGACACACGTGTTATCTTTAACGAAGCCTGCGTGTGGATTCCAGTCTGTCACATTCAGTGTATACTCGTAATAATATGTAGTTTTTAAACTTTTGATATTTATATTGAAAAAAAAAACAAAAGCGCTGAACTATGAGCTGACTGTTTCGGTGCGTGCACGTGGCCAACGCTTGCCACATCTAAGGAGAGAGTGTGCGCGTGGACGAAGCCGCAAACGGGAAGCTATTAGTATTTTCTAATTAAAAACTAGATGAAATTGGTGCCCGACAAAAATATGAATCCTAATAAAACTTACATAACAGTTGAAACCGCACCCTCCGCTAGTCTCAACGTGCACATCGACATACGGCGCCGCTCTACAAGCGTCATATGAATTTATTCAGTGTATTGTATAATAGTAAGCTTGCGAGGCCATAGTACATTAGGATAACTTATTTAAAACGAGTCAAATTAGACGCACCGCGTATACAGCGTCAAAACTGCAACGTGACTGCTTACAAATATGTGCATACATACATAGTTGCGAACGACACTGTATTGTTACGATTAGCATTTTGAACAAACAGTCCAGGGGAAACCAACACAGATACATACATTAATATGTTCATACATACATACATTAAACATCAAAAGATATGTAATGAGTTGAGTTCAGTTTACGTGATGCGTTCAAAATTACAACTGATTTATAAATGTTTTTTCGAAGCTGTCGAAGAAATCACGTTGAGATACGATCGGACCGAAGCGAAGGGGAGACAGACACGTGACTCGTCTCTGCGAACCCCCCAATCCTAAAATCAAAGACGGGAATGTTTTTTGCTCAAAACAATTCTAAAACATATATTATAGAATATATTTTGAGTCACGACGCGACGCGGGCGGGGAGAGCACCGCTCTAGGAGGCGAGGGGCGAGGGGCGAGGGGCGAGGCGACTCTAATATAAAACATAAACGGAAATATGTAACTCACTCACTGGACCCGGATAGCAACTATTAATATGTATGTCTTAGCAATAATTATATTACAGTGATGCTAAGTCATTCTCGGGATTGTCGGGCTGTCGATAGCACGTTAGGTTGTAATCCTAACATACTTTAGTCACTTAATTGAACATGCATCTTACTAATGCTTGCCCGATATAGAGACTCAACAAAACTATCATACAAATATGAAATTAATCGCTAATCATTTTAGTGATCTCATACATTTCTCGTGAATCGGCAACGTAAAGCGTACAACGCTCGAAAGTGAAGCATCTACATTTATTTAATGTTGTATAAATTGTATTTTTAATCCTCCCATCAATCCGATCATGTAGTTACATATGAACATGACATAAATTATTTTGCTTGATGATTACTAGCCTCTGGGCATTTCATTATACTAACTCCGTGGGCCCTGAACAGCTATGGTTTACTTAAAGCTAAATAACTAAGCTTTAAGCACAAATAGTATTATAATTAATGTTTTTTATCTATATCTATATTTATCTCATAGAGAAGAGCTATTTAAAGAAAAAGGTAATAGTTATATAATATAATAATGAAGAATTGTTGCTGAAGAATGATTCCATCGGTATGTAGTTCTTGCGTGTTTTGCAAAGCCTACATTTTTTAATAACTATTCCATCATAATGAGAAAAACACGCGATAGATTGTCGGTTGTACATTTCCTCTTTAAAAATAAGTGTCAGATGGGCGTGAGGCGGGCGCGGGAAGCGGGAAGCGGGAAGTAGTGTAGTGGATCGCGCCACGCTGCACGCACCCCCGCCCCGACCAGCACAGAGCACTCACACACCAAGCTCGTTGCGCAATCTCTCATCACGCAATACTAGAGCATTCCATTCGTGCTTACGTCTTCGCTGCACTCATGCGCAAACCAACCATGTGTTATAGTCGAGCTCCGAGCTCGGGAACTCCTGCGACCAGCTCGACCGTGGCTGCTCTCACTTTCGTAGGGCCCGAGAAAGTCCATCGGACCGTTGCGATGACGTCATGTCGTTATGCTACTCATGTACATATGTTTCCGAGTCGGAACCGGAGACTTCCGAGTTCGCATTAATTCGACGCAGATTTAATCTGAGAAGTTGCGGAGAAAGCGAGAGTGGGCGCAGCGGGGGGAGCGCGGGGGAGCGCGGGGCGGAGTCCGCTCTCACTTTCGTCCGACGTGACCGGTAGAAAGTGACGTGCCTCCGCGCTCTAATCCATACGCTAATCTACGAGTCGCCGCCGTTACATACTTCAACATTTGTATTTAAATGGCAGTTTTCAATGACATTCCGCTGCTCAGTTACCGTCCAATAAAACGTGGTGGAATTTAATATTGATGTAGATGAAGCATTCGATTGGAAGCGTGGAATGTTCGTGCGAGGCGGCACTCACCGGTGCACCAGTGGAAAGCCGATGTTGCGTAACTGCCTCACTTCCTACTCGGGAAATATAGGTGAGGAGTGTCGGGGCGGGGGGCGCGGGGCGAGGGGCGCGGGGCGCGGTACAGCAAGCGGGAAGTGGTTGCTCTTGCACAACAGAGAAAGCCAATGTTTTCCGGCGACGCGCGGATCATTTTCATAAACGTGTGAATTGAGCGAAAGTATAGAGCTCGTGAAAGCGACGACGTACGTCGGCGACGCCCGCGCCCGGAGACATCTCCGCATCCCACCGCCTCGTGCTGCTCAGAGTTAGGGCGCTATGTCACCGTGGCCGACGCGGCCTTGCCGGGCTCGCGGGTCACGGACAGTCAAGAACGACTACTTGCCAAGCAATCAACGAAAATGTTCAAAATGATCAGAGATGAAGTGCGATCGTTAAGCTGAGCCGAGCCGTACAGCCGCAACAGTGAGGCTGATGTACAATGCGTTTGTTTTGCATTTCTTATCAAGTTGAAGTTTAACGAGCGTCCGCCGCCGTTATTCATTGTTCGATATTTGTGGTCGACAGAACGCAAGCTGTTCGCGAGGGGACTAACTAGCGCATGCTACACTAATGTAACTCAAGATATCAGAACTCTGAGAAAAAAGTCATTTTAAAACGCTTTATAATCATTAAAACTGCTTTAAAAGCGTGTTTGAAAGTTTAATCATAGATCTTAGGTGCAAATTAGGCCCCTCTTGAAAGAATATTTTAAAGACATTTGACGGTACACCTCCAAGAATAATAGTTTGATACATGGCGGATTTTACAGCTATTTAGACAAACATTAATGTTTAAAAACAAAACAAAAAGCTGTTAATACCAAACGTACTTCCCAAACGACTTCAGTCAATCGAAAGTAATTTTAAAATAAGAGATATAGCAATGAATGTGAGCACCGACCAATGTCCGCAGTACCTACGAGGTTGCGGGAGCACGTCAAGCTAGAAACGTAGCATTATTATCATTTTCATTCATTTTCTTGTATTAATTCTAAATCTATAACGCAATGTAAAAATAGTTTAATTCATGATAACAAATGAGTAATGTTACAGTTGACCCGGGTGCGCTGCTTGGCGCTGTGTGGCGCTGTGTGGCGCTGTGTTGCGCTACGTTACGATGCGTTACGGTGCGTTGCATTGAGCGTGAAAGTAAAAGTCGGAAGCGATGACGACGCGGAAATACCCGCGGAATTACTTTTACTCTCAACACTAGAGACGACTAGGGAAGCCACATACTTCCAAATATTGTCGGTTTAGCTTAATCAGTTTTTTATTTATTATCATGTTCTTCACTTGTAATGTACATTTGTCACGGACGAATGCTGCCCGTGTAGTCCGTGTGCGTGCTGTATACATATTTGGATGAGCTGGTGGTCCGCCCTGAGATCAGTCTCAATCGTATTGTCTCGTATAGCGGTTGTGCTGCGTCGTAGTACTCGAAGTACTCGAAGTATCTAGATATTATTTTTTAACCGATCAATGTAACTTGATTTTTTTCCATACGCAGAACTAAGAGTCGCATGTAAAATTTTCAATCACTGCACAAATCGGCTGAAACTAAAATTAGTTTAAGATTTAATCACATTTAGCATTTTTTTTGCATTTTATTGTATAATTTTCATTATTTTATATATCCTCTACTTTATATTGTATCGTGAGCACGTCGATGATAATAATAATAATATAATAATGAAAGGGTAGGGTAAATGTAAAATGTATTTCCTAAGTATTGATTCAATACAAAGCCAAACAATTTGAGAAGAAGGAGGCGGTTCAAAATATGGTTTTAATATGAATTAGGGCAATGAAAAAAATGTACTGGTAGATACAACAGTGACCGCCTCCCAATGACTCACATGACTGAGTGTGTATGAGTATACGAGATACTGACACGCGCGCCACCTGTTGACCGTTCATTGTAAATAGTCGAAGAGCGTCAATAAGCGAAGAGGGCCAATGATAACAGCAACTGTATACCTAACATTTTAACTCCGTCGCAAGCACATGAACAACAGCCGCAGAGAGAACATTATAATGTTTATACGCTGTTCAACCCTGAAGTAGGTATCTAGTGTATGTTGTGTACAGGTTCTGTAAGTCATTACGAGAGGTTGCAGTTAATGGAAGTTGTGGTGTCGTGCAGACGTTCCACACACTTCCTGACAAACTTCACGTATGTACGTACATATTACAATTACAGAATTACAATGAAACAATAAACTGGTATTCGCTGTTAACACCCTAGGAGTTAAGTCAGTTCGAGTTCGAGTCATAGACATGCTATTGACTATTAGTCTAAGATCCGGCTGCAATATATCTACGTTCATCGCGTAGTTAATAAATTCGCACTTATACATACATTTATAAATAGAAGAATACATTGATAACAGGGTGCCAGTCAATAAGTGGTCGTAAGTAATTTTAATTAAATAAATGTTAAGTAATTTTCCAAAAAAAATTACGTTCACTTATTTTTTAAATTAAATATCATAATTTGCAGCCGGATCTCAGACTATATGTAAATGTTTAGGCTTACCATTTATTATTACATGTTATTTCAGAAGGGATAAAGTAGATACAGAAGGTAAACATTTAGTTTATTATGCTCAAATTGTGGTATAGAATCGCAAGGTGAACGCTGACACCCAGGTCGCAGTCATGACAGCTTTGCAACAAAAATATATAAGAGAATCTTCGAATTATTAGCGTCATCCAGAAGTTCCCGCGTTATTCTCGGTATCCGCTTGTCCCTTTTTATCTCTAGTGCGATTATAGATTATACAAGAATTTTATTTCAAACACAAGTTAGAAATAAAGCTCCGTATTTTTTTTGATTCACGATTGAAAAATAAATAAAAAACAGGGATCTGCGTTTACAAGTATCTGCTACCTTTGACTTATTTACAGAGAGCAAATGACGGAATATTGATACACAGCAGACAAGAAAGTCGCATTACATTTAAATTAGGACTTTATTATGTGCCTTCCAACGCAGGGAGGCGCGGTCAGCCCAAATGAACTACATTCAGCAATATAACGCGTGAGCTTTTAAATGAGAATGAGTTTAATGGGTTCTATACAGTTGAGCAACATAAATCAGCTACACATACAGCTGAATGTCATGTAGATACCTACGGGTAACAGCGTCTTTACAACAACTCTAAGTGGACAAAGACCACATATTTAGACGTATCTCCTCTTGAAAACGCTTTGTTAACGATAAAAAGTAAAAGTAGCCTGTGTTAGTGTGCAGGCGGAAGCAATTCGGAGAGAGGAGGGGCGCCCGGAGAAAGTCGCAAAAAGGTCGTCACTTTTTACCAAATATTCGAAGTGAAAGTCAGCGCGCTACGCTCGAATTGACGAAAAAGATATCATGAGACCACTATCAGTTTGCGGCCGCGCCCACCATGCAGCCAACCGCGTCTATGCTAACTAACAATTCGATTTAAGCTATCGTTGCTTCTATTAACCGGCAAAGGTATCTATCTACGCGATAGAGCGCGGGCCTCTCGTGCTGCAGTCGAGGCGGACATGCACCACTGTTACTTCGGTATTATTGATAATAAAGGTCCAAAGCATTTAGGCGTTCGTAGTATTTGTAATGATGTATTGGTTCGTACAGCCTACTCTTCGAACCAAAATGCGTGAGTACATCACGGGAGGGACGAGCGGTGTCAACGAGTCGCGTTACTTTATAAATATTATTACATCAGGTTCTTAGTCTTACCAAAAATTGTTATTTCGTCGTGGTAGATAAAATTAGAAAAAATGGTATCTTCTGCAGGTTCGAAACTATGCCATCCCGAGGATAGCGAGCGTATTACTTATTAGACAGCTGACGGCTCATGGTGCAGGCACAAACAAGATTGCAATCAAACAAATAAATTTTCTGAATAGTATCACAGTAGATGTTCGGAGGCTTACCCCGATAAGTGATTGACCTTAATTTTGTAATGACGCAACTGTGTGACATAAGTTAAAACAACATCACGCCAATGCCAAGTTTACCGCGATAACAGACATGGCTTTGACACAAATATACTCGTATGCTGCGTGCATCAGTTATACTTATATGACAAACGTAATAGTTGAAATCGCGCGCGCAACATATCCCTTGTACAGAGTGGCTGTGGAGGCTTCAACGGAGTGAGTCAATAATTACGTACGTACACGGACGGCAAGCTGCAAACGAACTGTCCCCCTCAAATCTTCAGTAGAATTGTAACTCGTGACGATGTTTGATGATTGTCGATTAATAAATCGGATACTGCTTGAGTCTATTAAGGGCAATATCTCGAAAATGTGTATTCCTGTAGTTTAGGGCTAGCAATATACGTTTCTATGTCTGACTAAGAAACATGTTTCTCTTGTAAACATAATAACCGTATTTGATGCTTCATAACGAAGTTTTCAATAAATATATTGACGTCGCAACTGGTTCGTCCAGTTCGGATGACCTCCGCTTAGATTCCAGTCAGTTGAGCCCTTCGGCTGCATTTTATTATATTCATAATTAATTAGAACCATACTCGTAAATATTGTACGTAACGTTCCACATTTAGACAGAATTTTGATAAAAAAATATTCTATTATAGTATAATATTTTTTAGGTTCCGTTTGTTCTGCAAAAGTTGACACATAAAATAAATCAGCGAGTACAAATAACAACATGGGGGCATCGTCGAAGTGGGTCGCGGTTTTAAGTATGCGAATTATTTTCAAGATCTAGTTCCGTAAGTATACGAAAATGTCGAAATCACAATAAAAATATCATTTGAATAAACTCGTTATGACAACGCGACCGACCAGACGAGCGCTAAGAACTCACACCTGTGAAACTACACATACCTAGTTCATATTAAATTATTGAATTGTGTTGTTTGAAGTTTGAAGACTTCCTTTCTGTTGTACAGGCTACAGAACAAGGTACAGATCATAATATGTACACAAGTCAGGGAGGGCCGTCGGGGGCCGTCGAGTCAGGCAATGTGTCGGCTGTTACGTCGTTCTATTGCTCTAATCATATATCTCCATAGAGCATTTACTTTAAGCTGTTATGAAACATCATAGCTAAAATTGTTAATGAATGATACTGTCGTGGGCACGCGTTGTTTCCGTGACGATACATTTACATTTTAGGTGCTACTTATTAATATGATATTAGGTGCACAACGCTCATGTTAATGAAGTTTGGTCGTCGAGAGATCAGACAGGATCAGACAAGAGATCGGCATCATCGTTCGTACTCCAGCGGTGGGAGCAGGGACGCGTTTCGCCAATTCAAGTGACCCGCTTTTCGTAAACTTTCTTCAAGACGTCTTTTTTGGTTGCGCAGTGACTCATGCATTTCACCAAGTTTACAATAGTTTGTGTCCGTATTTTATTGCCATTTTCACATTTTACGTAGAACGACTATGGAAACTCACACAGACCAAATGGGAATAAGCTTATTGTTGTACTTAGCGGTAATTCGATGCAACCGTCGGTCGCTGCGATACGGCTTCCTTCAGAGCTAATCGCGTTTACGAAGGGCTCGTCTTCCGCCTTCTAGCACGAGCGGCACTTCTAGCGTGGCGCCGGGCGGTCGGCGGGGTGCGACGGGCGGTAGCATCAGCGCGGACGCAGCTCTGACGTCACCGATGTCAAGGTCTCGGATGTTTCAAAGATTTGGAGGCGTTATCAAAATACGATATCTTGCGACGATGACCTGCGTGTCGACCGCAATCACGAACTGCGAGGGACGTTAGCGGAAGGCGATCGGACCGGTATTACATACGAAACCTTTCGAACCGGGCAGAAACACAATTTTGGAACGTTCTTGATACCGAGAAAGGCCCGGAAAGGGCCCCGGGACGGGTGAAAGGCTGGGTTGCGGACGAGTCTCGCTCGAGCAGCCGGCGCCGGGCAGCGCTCGCGCACTTTCTCTTTTTTTTCACGACTCTCTCGCGACCGGAGGCGGTGTCGATCACGAAACTGAAGCGGGCGCGCGGAGAAAGTGCGCGGGCGGGTCCGGACACCACAAGGGTCGGCCACTGACCGTTGACGAAGACGTGTTGTCTCCAGATGTGATACTGGCTCCAGCGGTCGTCGTCCTGGACGTGGCCGTGTTGGAGCTGGGGCAGCGTGGGCAGGGGCGGCGGCGGCGCGGGCGGCAGCAGCTGCGGCGGAGGCGCCGGCGGCCCGAGCGGCTGGATGGGTTGGTGCTGGTACTCCATGCTCGACGAGGCGCACTCTCAGTGATCACTCATCGCGGCGGCGCGAGAGGGCACGCGACAGGCGTGCGCGGCGACGAGCTGCACGCGACTGGTGATCGCGCACTGGGCCGCACCCCTCCCGCGCTCCCCACCACCCACCACTCGACGCTTCCGACCACGCACGGCACACTTTTTAATTACGGTGACATAATAGCCGCGATGCGATCACTCTCGCCTGCACCAGCACCCTGGCGGCGCGGCGCTCCTCCGATGCACGTGTCGTCCCGTGCGTGTAAACAAAGCACCGACTACTAACTAGACTTCGCTAGACCTCACCTGCACGTCGCGGCGCCGCCTCGTTGCGTCGTTGTGTTGTATACCGACACGCGTCGCGGCCGATCCTCGTACAGCTTCACGCGTGCCAACGGTTTTTATAAACAAACAGATCATCGACAGAGCACACTGTGCCCAGCTCACGTTCAATTACCTGTGCGAACACAAACCGATCGGAAACGTTCGGGGAGAATGCGATTCTACGATATGTTACTCTGAATTCAGATAAACTTATTACAACGGTGAAGGACAGACAAATTCTTTTAAAAACTTTTATCTTTTGAACTTCGAGCACGTTGAAGTCTTTTATAGGGACTCAAACCCGTTGCTCGTGCATGTGTTTGCGAACACAATGATTGAATCAATCAGGGCATCATTGAAAAGACGGTCCCAAGATTCGGAAAACCTGCTTCCCCTGTCGCCGGATCCGCGCCTTGTTGACGAGCGTGGCGTGATTAGACTCAACGCTGATAAAATCGAGGAGAGCATTCATGAGTATACGTCAAGGAAGGCAGTGAAGTGTTAGTTTATTTGCACAGCGCACAGGTGTAGATGTGACGATGGAAGCAGCTGCGCGTGCTCCTCGACAATGGTGTTTACACTGCCCCTCCCCCCGCTCCGCTGCCTCCTCGCCTATTTAGAACTGTCCAGGTGTTCTATGACTCACACCACGATAGCCTTTCACAAATTTCATAACATTTATATTTTCATGGCAGTTTTGTACTGTCTTAATGCTTCTCGAAACAGCACCCGGTCTCACTCAGATAACTAATTTCTGTTTGGGTATCAAAGTCGACCAGGCGATGAACTAACAGCATGTCCAAAAAAACCAAGTGGTAAGGTACCACTGTTTATTTCCGCTGTAGTTATTCACCAGGCCTACGTGGAAAGTGTGCAGTGGGCGGACGATAGTGCTGAGCTTTGCGACTGATATCACACCACGCTGCCTACACTTCCTTCCCTACCTCCTAGCTGGGTAGCTTAAGGGGCTATTCCAGGCACGCGCAAACGGGTAAGTGAGCTCACGACCTCAACCTGAGAGAACTTTCTAACACTAGAACATACAATGCTTCGCAGAATCTCTCATCGGATCGGAATCGCGACCCACAGGAGGTCGGGCGAGAAACTCAGTAGGTTAGAGTTGCTCTCGGCATTTTAATTTAGGTAGGAAAATTTACATGAGCATTTGACAGTTGTAGAGAGCCAACGAGAAATAAATTAAAGTAATCGGAAGAAGCTGACTTCATACATCTGTAACATCTAGATCGATCTAGATCGATGTTAGATAGTCGGATTGAGCACCATGACCTGCCGACGATCCTCAGGCCTAGACTACCACCAAAACATCGCATTCAAGTTGTAAAGCTGAAATATCTATGAATAAAACTCAATCCTGATATTTCAGTGCAACCTGTAAACTTAGATGCCTATTTCTGCCGTGTAATGCAGTAATAATGCGTTTCAGTTTAAAGGGTAGGTAGAGCAGCCGTTGTACTATTAAAACTGAGACCTTAGAACTCATATCTTAAGGTGGGTGACGGCATTTACGTGGTAATAGTCTATGGGTTCAGATAACCACTGTCCACCCATCTAAGCCACAAATAAAAAGATGAAAGTCTCCGAACAAAAACAAACATTTGTGAATAATTAAAAAGCAATAAAATTATAATCTAATTTTTTGTCTACTACCTATAAGTATCTATATATATTTGTACTGTGAGGTCATTTTAATAAGTAAAATTTGACGTCTGTCAGTGTTGTCTTCATAGTGAGGTGACTTTGAAGTCGTCGTGGCCTAACGGATAAGACGTCCGGTGCATTCGTGTTGCCGCACCGCATGCGACGCACCGGTATTCGAATCCCGCAGGCGGGTACCAAATTTTTCTAATGAAATACGTACTCAACAAATGTTCACGATTGATTTCCACGGTGAAGGAATAACATCGTGTAATAAAAATGAAACCCGCAAAATTATAATTTGCGCAATTACTGGTGGTAGGACCTCTTGTGAGTCCGCGCGGGTGGGTACCACCACCCTGCCTATTTCTGCCGTGAAGCAGTAATGCATTTCGGTTTGAAGGGTAGGGCAGCCGTTATAACTATACTTGAGATCTTAAAACTTATATCTCAAAGGTGGGTGGCGCATTTATATTGTGGATGTCTATGGGCTCCAGTAACCATTTAACACCAGGTGGGCTGTGAGCTCGTCCACCCATCTAAGCAATAAAAAAATAAAAAATAAATTATACACTCGATATCACGTGCACGGAGACCAATGTCCAGTAGTGGGGTGAGATATTATTACCTACATACATTCTTAATCAAGCCTCAAAATATTTCTGTACCAAATTTCGTCAAAATCGGTTCAGTTGGATAGCGCTGAGAACAGAATACAGAGAGTAGCTCCAGTGTTAATAAAGTAACTTCGAACGTCTAACAGGAAATATTTAACTTTTAAACAGCCATGACTTTTCTGTAGTGACCGATTTTAGTGTATGTTATGTTCTAAGCTACCAGAGCAACTTCATGAGAGTCGCTCAAATAGTTCGGGAGATGTGTGCCGACACGCCTTATTACATATTTTTATTATTAAAGTACTTTTTTTCAATATAAAAACACACCGAAATTTTCTAATTGATTATAACTTTAGATAGTATGGATTTGACAGAAACAATTTTAATTTTCAAAAACGTCATGCGTAAGTAGTTAAGTTCTTAGTAACGTACTGTACACGCAAACCCGGTGCCGCGGCCGGTGACCGAGTCAGCCTACGGAAGAGCGAGGAGAAGCCAGCCGGGCCAGCTCCGCACTCAACGGACCGGCTGACGAGAGGGCGCACCGTCATGCGAGGCCCTGTATCAGTCAACTTGTACCGCTGATAACATCACGAACGATTCATTTTGTTATTTTACAATTTTCTATAAACGACCTTATTTTGCTAACAGTAAACAAAGGACAATGCCCAAAAGCGGGCCAACTTTAGACATCACTGAATTATTCCATTAGTAAAAATCTCATTGGCCCACCATTACTTATTTTTATTATCTATGGTCAGAGAGTTTTGGCAGCAACCCGAGTGAAGCGTCACTTGAAATTTTATTTTAATGTTTTTTAATAGTTTATTGTGATGTATGATATATAAATTGGGTGTTGTTTTGTGTATTAAACATCAGTAATCGTGGTTCACGATTATTGAGGCATTGGAATAAAACTATGACTTACATAGCAGTGACTGTTTTTTTTCCAAGATAAAACCTCACGTTCAGTCAATGTGCTTGCTTTTCGTCGAGTTGACGCCAAAACTCCCAAAAAGCAATAAAAAGAGATACACCGAATAATATAACTACGACAGACGAGGCTGTATAGGCTACGCTCTTTGCCTGCCTATTGGCGAATTTAAAAACAACAACAACAATATCGTTGCCGGCTTTCGGATTTTCATTTCCGAAAGAAGGATCAATGAAGTCCATTCTCAGAAACCACCTTTATTATTATTATGAGGATATAATAATAATAATTTACATAAGGGCTTATTTCTAGCAAAATTAACCACAGTTAACTTATTTAATACTGTAAATAATGATGAAAGCAACTATTGATTTCGAAGAAAACAATTAACAACTTAATTTTAGCTGCAGAAAAAAACAGATTTCTCTTAAACCTGGGTGAGAATATAAAAATCGTTTTCTGAATATGAAACGATATTTCTTTGTCTATCAAATTAAGTTAAAACCATCATGACAAGACAACTTTTTTTAGGGGCCCAAGCGCTCAAAGAAAATGGCCACTGTCCTTTGTAACTATTCTTGTAATATTTATTTAATTTATTACTATCGAATACAAAATGAAAGATGCACGAAAACACTGAACAGGCTTTCTAATAACGTATCGTACAAAGATATAAGCACCTCTGGTCGGTGTGTGTGTGTGTGTGTGTGTGTGTGTGTGTGCGTGACGCGCCAGTCGCGAGTAGTGAAACGTGCCTCGGGTCCACGTGACCGCCGATTATACACACCTCAGCGCATGGGTGACCCAGCGTGTGATTTAGATTTGCACTTTGGCTCAATCGACTCTTGGAAAAGGCCGAATTATAAGTTTTTCGAACACCAACATTTTTTATTAGGTACATTGTACAATCTATATATATATATATAAATGAATTGCTGTTCGTTAGTCTCGCTAAAACTCGAGAACGGCTGACCGATTTGGCTAATTTTGGTCTTGAATTATTTGTGGAAGTCCAGAGAAGGTTTAAAAGGTAGATAAATATGAAAATGCACGGAATTAAATAAAAATAACAATTTTGTTTGTTTTAAGTTTATTTTATACAAAAATTTAGGTCTTTTATTTATCGATTGAGGCACTACGAAGTCTGCCGGGTCAGCTAGTTAGTATATTATATAATTTGTGATTTTATTTCTTCTACTTTATTATTTTTTCCCTTTTTGCCTACAGATCCCTGGGTCCGTGATCCGCTCCCAATATCTGCGGATCATCTACTATTCGTACGCCTTCTACGCGCTAGGACCTCGTAGAAGGTTCGGCCCCCGTCCAAAATAAAAAAAGGATGTTCGTGAGGCACTGGTATTACAGCCGTGTCACTGATTTGAAATTGAAAAATACTATGTTCACGCCCGCCCGCAGACCTTACTCAATATAAGATGTGCCGTGCTGCTCAGCAAGTTAACTTTGTGAAGCTGTTCCCTGTAACTCCGACCAGGTCAGCCGGTCGGGTATCCATTAACGATTCCGTCCTACGTGTTATTGAACACGAGGCTGAAGACTGCACACACAAGGAGACTTTCTATGAAAACTATACTCTCGGGAAGTGATGTCTGCGCAACACGACCTTACAAGCGTCGTTTTAATTCAATTATTATTAACACGATTAATAATAACGG